TTATGAGGCAAATTTCATGCAAATTTTACATCACTTGTCTATCTGAATTCCTTATGGCTTCCACATTTATGTGGGAAAATTTCAGACGAATCGGTACACCCAGTCCGGAGAAAAGTTTCATAAACGAGACCTCTCTGTTGGCACTTTCATATCACCTTAAAGTGAAGTGAAACACGTCGAGGAACTTGATCGACGTAGATAAAGATTTTTCAAAATGCCTAAGTTGCCGACGTTCGTTTTTATATTGACAGCTGTGTCGAATTATATTGGATATTGTATCAAATGGCATATTCCACCTGTTGTTTTCGTACAATAAATATTTGGCTCGAAACTCTACCGAGTTTCTTGATATCAATAAATCGAAGTAAAACTCCAGAAATCCTCTGGATTCATTCTTTTTGGGACCTCCTGCGCTATCTGTGATTTCCAGATCAATTAAATTTTCACATCGAGACCTCGTATTCCCATTATTTTAGCATAGAAGCACATACAACACTTTTTTTGCCTTTATCCCGTTCAAATGTGAATTTATCGATTACCAGTGTTCTAAATTGTCGTATAATTGTTCTGACCTTTTCGTTTATCATATCAGAGCTTTCGATAATTGTATATCGATCGAAATATGAGAGCTCGACGCCATTTTAGTTTAGGTCTGGGCTGAGTTAAAAATTTTTTTTCAAAAATCCATATTTTGATTGTGTTAGGACAATTCTTAGACGATCAGGAGTGATGTGTCAAAGTTTCGGATAGTTTGGTCTAATACCCTTAAAGTTAGTTAAAAAAAAGTGTTGTATTCGAATCGACTGATTTGAAGGGGGTTTCACTTCACCTTAAGGTGATATGAAAGTGATATGTGAGTCAGCCTATATATATCCGAGAAGCCAAATCGTTGGAGAAAGTATTCCCCGAATTTGGTGTACCGATTTGTTTCAAATTTTACCACGAGAATATGTAGGCCTTAAAGTAGGTCCTGAAACTGACGAAATTTCACTTTTCATCCAAAATTTATTTACTTATCGTGGACTAGAACCAACCTGGCGTGGTCCGGGTATGTTTTCGATGTTTTACGCTTCTTGGAGGCTTAGAATTAAAAATGAAGAGTTTCAGGACCTAGCTCGAACAATTCAGAATACCGTAGAAATGGAATATTACAAAGTCAGATGGGAAGATATGGAAAATACTTTCACCAACGATTGCAAGAGAATGCTCGCTTGTCCAGGGGTTAACACGTGTCTTTGGAGAAAAAATTTAGTTGCAGCTAAACGTCACAGATGGCGACGCTTGTCCTAAACAGATTACTCGTTAGAATAATAAATTCCCGGGATTTCGACAGCTCTACATCGATCTATTCATCATTACTTTACTGAAATGACATGGAACGCTTCAGTTGGCATAATTATCAGCGTAGATTCTTAAAGACTTCAACATAAATATAAATGTCGGTAACGGGACGCGCCAGCTTCTGTTACCACTTGAGTATTGAAAACGGCATTACCACCAAAAAAGGGTATAGATGGATTTTATTTTATCGACGTCGGTTCAATTTCTCATACGCTTTCGTGTCATCTTAAAGATTATAAGTGTACATACACGGATATGCGATTTCAGTCACATGGCGTCGAGGAAGATTATAATTCTGCGCGTCGACCCGCGAAATATTCCAATCGACGCAAAAAACACATCTCGTGCCTCAAACGCGTAAAAACGTAAAATTAGTCGACCTACGAACCGAGTATGACGATTCCCAAGAGACTCCTCTCGTATCCTTATCGACGAGCAAATACGCGATCTGCCCCGTCTCTTTCACTTTATCTATCCATTTCTCCGTCTTTCTCCGTACGACTTATCGTGAATATTCCAAAGTATTTTCGAAGCACCGACAGGCCGACAAAGCAAATAAGATTGACAACGACTCGACCCCAGATAAATATTGCTTAGAAGCAAGCGGTATTACGGTGATATGAAAGGGTTATTCTATATATTAGAATGTCAAAATATTGATAAGACTTTTCTCCAAACTGGGTACCCCGAATCGTTGGAAACTTTAACACGTGATTATGGGGACCCTAGGAAAGAACGCCATGCTTATGAAATTTCATTTTTTAAATAAAAATATATGTCCTTCGTTCTAGTCTGGGATACATGACAAATTTTTCTTTGAAAAATGAAGTTTCATGAGAGTCGCGTTCTTCCTTAGGGCCTCCATAATCACATGTTAAAGTTTTTAATTATTCGGTGCACCCTGTTTGGAGAAAAGTTTTATAAACATTTTAACGTCACCTTAACGTGATATGAAAGGATCATATTAGAAGGACAAAATATTTATAAAACCTTTCTCCAAAAACAGGACGCACCGAACCATTTAAAACTTTAACACATGATTATGGAGGCCCTAAGGAATAACGTGACGCTCATGTGATTTCATTTTTCAACGAAAATTTTTGTTTATTTAGCCTAGACTAGAACCAAGATCACATTTTTTTTTCGTAAAAAATGAAATTTTGCGAGCATCGCGTTCTTTCTTAGGGCCTCTATAATCACTAGTTAATATTTCAAATTATTTGGTGTACCCAGTTTGGAGAAAAGTTTTATAAATATTTTTCCGCTTTATATATAATGGCCCTCTCATATCAATATTTCAATAAAAAAACCAAGCTCAAGGCAGGCCGCAAACTCTTGTAAACGTTAAAATAACAGACTAAACGGAATTAAGAACCGAGTCTTTGACGATTGGCCAAGAGTGCCTTCTCGTATCTCTCTTTTTTCTTGTTTTTAAGTGCCTTACATCAGCTTCTATGGCTATTACCCGGTCCCGTATAGTTATCGACGAGTAGATACGCCATTTAACGTTCTTTTTTTCTGTTCACGTTGCGCACCGAGCAAATTCCAAAATATTTTCGGAGCGCAATATGGTTCCTACTAGACAGCGGAATATTTCAATATGTATTTCTAGAATTGGTTGCGGAATGATGATGAATTAAAAAAAAAAAATGTGGAAAGCGCTTAACAGAGAACAACTTAAAATTGTTTGAAAACCATGGAGCCATCAACAGATACGAAAACTTAAAGCCAACCGAGAAATTCCCGAAAATCTGTGTACTGTAACAGACGAAGAGAGAAAATGAATGATACAAACTACATTTGTTTAAACGTGTTAATAAAAAAGCACCACAATTACTCGTAGTATTTTAAGTGTCAAGAGACATCTTTGACCCCGCCGACAGACCGGAAAGCCCCATAAGCTTATTGTCCGAAAAAGAATGCCGCTACGAGTGAACTAACATCACTTTCCTGGAAAGAAAACAAGCCCTAAGCTCAGGAAATATAATTGCACATACAAACAGAAAACCTGTCGATTCACAAGTGGTATACAAGAACTCCCAAGAGTTTCTTTTCCTGTCTCTTTATCGACGAGTAAATATACGCGATACGCACTCTTGTTTCTTCTTTCTCTCCAAACAACGCACTGTGCAAATTTCAAACCGTTTTCATAGGATTTTAAATTCTTTTGATACGTAGAAAAAGTTTCAGGGGCGTTTTACCTTAAAAAAAAATGCCACCCAATTTCAATCTACATCTTTCGTGTCTTTATCGACGGGTAAATATACGCGATACGCACTCTTGTTCCTTCTTTCTCTCCAAACAACGTACTGTGCAAATTTCAAACCGCTTTCGTACGACTTTTAATTTTTTTGATAGATAGAAAAATGTTCAGGGGCGTGTTATCTGAAAAAAATACTACTCAATTTCAATCTACATCTTTCGTCTTTTTATCGACGGGTAAATATACGCGATACGCACTCTTGTTCCCTCTTTTTCTCCGAGCAACGTACTGTGCAAATTTCAAACCGCTTTCGTAGGAGTTTTAATTCTTTTGATAGATAGAAAATTTTTCAGGGCCGTTTTATCCGAAAAAAAAATTCCACCCAATTTCACTCTACATCGTTCTTCAAAGAACAAAAACGAGCCACAAAGTTAACGAGTCATAACGAGTGCATGTAGAAACGGAAAACCGATCAACGATCCTTGTTCAAAAAATTCCCAAATCGCTTTTCGCGTCTATCCATCGACGAGTAAATGAGTAACGCATATACTCAACTCTGTGATATAACTTCAATGAATTTTTAACAGAAACACTAAAACAAAAAGTCCCGATTAATATACCTAGATGCGCTCGATTAAAAGATCCGTACTTCCCATTAACCAGAAACTAATTAATGCGACTAGGAAACTGATTACCGAAATTTGCTTGAGCATCGTTACGTTAATCAGATTTCTAAACCACTGGTCGAATGAATACTAAAAAATTCTTGTCCTACCAGCCAGAGATTCTCTTATTATTTGCCACAAAGTGTTAATCTACAAGAAATATTTCATACTCTCAGCCAGAAGAATAGTAAGGGCATACATAAGAATCTCCTCCAGGTAAAGTAATGAAATTCCGGACTTTTAAACCGTAGGACAGATATAATGAATTTTCTGCCCGAGAGATCACCCCATTGCAGTCCTATACTCGAGGTTCTTTCCACGGCACATGCGATATACCATCTCTTTCTCCGTATGCCGCGCCGGGCAAATTCCGAAACACTATTGATGCGTCCTCGGGGTCGAAAGGTCCGAAAAGCGTGCCGTAGCGGGGAAACTCGCGTCGAATGGGCAAGAATAAAGTCGCAGTCGCTGGGATCGCCGTCCGGTCCGGTTATCGAGGAGCGAAGTCGCGATCGGATCGCGGGCACCTCCGTCCCCTCGTCGCAGCTCGGCGCGCCGGCCGAATTCCGGCGCACTTTCGAGGTCCGACCCCTCCGCGAGGAATCCCGGAGCGATCCGGCCCGAATAAAAGGGGCGACCCGGCCGCGAGCGGCGTCGGATTTTCCGGGCGACAGCGCGCGCCGGCTCCGAATCGATAGAGGAATGCGGCGTAGGGTGAGGAAAAGGAAAAAGGAAACGGCGCGGCCCGCATTCCTCGGCCGCGAGGCCGCGCGCTCGCCAAGGATACTCACCGGCTCTCGACGTGACAATCCCGAGGAAGAGGCCCTAGCGGCGAGGCGCGATCTCCTCCGACGCGGCGCGACGTTGCACTGCGCGTATTTTCATTGAAAACGAGGGAAAATCCAGCGGTATGCGGGCGGACACACCGAGAGCGCGGCCCGTTTGCCCGTTTGACACGAGAGCCAGCCTGCCGCCCCCCACCACTTATAGGTTACGCCGGAATGTGAGGCATTCGCCGACCGTGGCGCCCTCTGCGGCCAAAACCGCCAATCGCCGCCTGCGCCGCGCTCGGGGCAAATATGGCCTAGAGTCCGCCCGACTCTCTGCGGCGACTCCGACGCTCGTGTCGGCTGCGCGAATACACGGACGTATCGGGTGATATCGAGCTCGGTCGTCTCTGGCATGGACGTAAGAATATGTCTCTAGCAGGGGTGGGTAAGTATAATACGTCCTGTAATATACGTGCCTTTCTACGTGTATCAGAGATGAGTTGGGAGATTGCTCACGTGCAGGGTCGCGCGATCGCACCGTGTGCTGCC